GAAGCAAACAGTGCTGTCTGGAGGCAGCTTGCAGAAGCCCTGTGAACAGAGCTAACAGAGGCTAGGAACCAGTGTGGGCACAGCTGGAGCTAGCCAGGCTGGCTGGATGCTCTGTTGGTCCAGCCCTGAGCACACAGGCCAATGTTTAGGCTGAACCAGATCCATGAGCATCTTCCCAGTTCCAAGCTGACCCAGCTTGGAAGGCATTTACCTGGTGCTGACCTCCAGAAGCATGTGTGTGGCAGCATCCCCATGAGCTCATCCAGCTCAGAGCTCGGAGCCAGGCAGATGCTCAGTGGGACTGACACAGAGCTCGGCACTGGGTGGATGCTCCAGGGCTGGAGGCAGCACCGAGGAAGGCGGGAGGAGACAGTGCTGGGAAATCAGAGAACCGACCAGGAGAAGGCCATGGTAGGAACCAGGCTCACCAGCATTCCTGCCCTCCCCTCGGTGATAGGCAATATCTTGGGGAGGGGATGCAAAGGGACAACTTAGGAGCATATGGGGGCCTGGCAGGGGCAGAAAGCAGCTGAAAATCAAGGCCCCCTCTCCCAGGTTAAGAATCACTGCCCCCTCGCTGCCCCCCATACTATGCGGCCTTGGGGGATGTTCCCACCGTTCACTCCCCTGCCTGCACACCCAGTGGGGAAGGGGCAGCACATCTCCCCGGCTCTCGGTCCGCGGCCAGTGGACTGAGGGAAGCAATCCTAGCTCAAATGCTCGGTCTGAGGGTAAAGCCGGGGCACAGCAAGTCCCCCCTCCAACCCAAGTCGGGGTGAGAATGACATGCCCCAGCTCAGACTCAACCGAAGGTAAATGAGGGAGCTCAGCACACCCTGACTCAGACACCCCCTCCAAGGGGTAACAGGGTGGGAGACAAAGCACCCTCGGTACGAGTCAGTCCCTTCCGGGGGAGGGGGCAGAGCATCCCCCGGGGCACGGCCGGGCTGAGCATCCCTACTGCGGCACCGCCCGGGGGGCAATGGGGAGCATCCCCAGTAGGGATGTGGGGGGAGGAGGGCAGAACATCCCCGGGGGGTGGCAAAAACGGCAGAGCCCGCCGAGTCTGGCCCCACCAAGGGGGCTGAGCATCCTCTCGGGGGGCAGCAGAGCATCCCCGGGGGAGGCAATACGAGCAGAGTCCTCCGGGTCTGGCCCCACCGCGGGGGCTGAGCACCCCCCGGGAGGCCCCACGGGGGTCACGGGGGCCGAGCTGGCCCCGGGCGGCCCCGCGCGGGGCCGAGCATCCCCCGTGGGCAGCGCGGCCCCGCCCGCACTCACCGCCCGCCGAAGTCGCTGGAAGCCGCCGCTGCCGCCGCTGCCGCCCCGCCCCGCCCCGCCCACTGCGTCACCGTCCCCGCCTGGCCCCGCCCCGGGCGGGCCGCCCCGGGGGGGCGCGGGTCGGGGGTCGGGGCGGGAGCGGGGGTCCGCCCGGGGGCAGGAGCCTCCCCGGGGACAGGGTCCCCTGGGGAAGGGGAGGAACCCCTCCCCCCCTTTGAGCCTTAAACGACTTTCAGGAGCGACAGAAATCCCCCCAGGGGAACTCTCTTTGAGGGCAGAAATTCCCCCGAGGGGACACAGAACCCTGAGGTGGGGCAGAAATGCCCCTGTGGGAGTAGGAAACTCTCTTGTGGGGAAAGTTCCTCCTTGGGGGAGGTACAAGAATGCCCCTGGAATGGGCATAGAACTCTCCTGGGGGCAGGAACAGGTTTATAAGTCCCCATACGGGCAGGACTCCCCAGGGGTTTTGTCCAGCCCTGGAGGGAGGGAGGCAGGAGCAGGCCTGGGCTGTAGGGTGTCCCAGGCTCTGGGTGCCTGTCCCCCCCACCTTGTGAGGAGCAGCAATGGGGGCAGGCACTGACCCCCAGACTGCCCCAGCCCCCTCCTCAGCCTGCAAGGCTCAGTTCTGAGCCCTGGAGAGATGAGATGTTTCACCTTGGGCTTCCCTCAAGGATGTCTTCAGCATCATAAATGGCTTTTGGGGCAGAGGGCATCCATGAACTTCAGCGGGGGCAGTCAAAAGCCCACCCTGCTCCATCATCCTGCCCTCAACAGGAGCACCCGTCACAAACAATTAATTTAGGGGCCTTGGAAGTACAACCCCTAGCACAGCCTTTGGGATCCCTCAGCAGTCCTCACCCAGCCTACCAACGAGGAGCTCCTTTTGTGACCCCACTGGGAACAACTGGGATCAGCAGCATCATCACAGAGCAGCACCTTCCTCTCTCCAGGAAGGACATCAAGCTCATCCTCAGGATCTTTGCTGGAGGACCCTGGGGAACGTCTCACATAAATGTCTCCGTCTCACCAGAGGAGGGAGTGTGCTGGATCCGCCCGCTGGCCAGACTCAGGAACAACTGCCTTCACTCCCAAGAACATTTCATCTCTTTTCCACATGCTAGAGTTTTTTAAGCCAAGACAAGCTTCACTTTTTAAAAATAATACTGTGATACAGTTCTCAAATAACAATGATGAATAGGATAATTCAAGGAAAACATTTTCAAGTAAAGAGGTGAGGGCAGCCAGGAGCACCAGGATCTAGTTTATTGACTGCCATCCACATTAATTTGTATCCATTGCCTTAAGAACAGATGGATTAGGAGTAGCCTTTCTATCAAGGAATGGCCTTTCCTGCCTGGGAAGATGAGAAGTTTTCTCAATCAAATGTGCTCCTTGCTGGTAGAATGCTCTTTGTGTATTTAAGAAACGCTGAGAGAAATAGGGTCAGGCAGGGAGTTTATGGACATACCAGCTCCTGGCCATGCTTGGGAAGCAGAAGGAATGTGGATTTCTTGGATTTTTCCATATTCCATGCTTTATCCTGCACTGGAGAGGCCCAAGAGCTGACACCACAGCTGTGAAAACATCTCACTGTCATTCCATTCATCTGCTGAAGTTTTGTAGGAAAGGGGCACAAGTGGGAATGCAGCACTCTGGAGTGTTCAGAGCCATTGAGGGAGAATGGGGCAGGGCTGGGCTCTTCAGTCACTGTGTAAACCCCAAAGGAGGGGAGCAGGATTCCAGCAGCCTGCCCAGTTTATCCCAGGACTGGGCAGGACTCTCAGCCAGCTCCTGGCAGTGCCCAAATCCCCTTGTGAGCAGGGCACAAGCCATCAAGGGGACACAGGCCCCAAAATCTCCATCAGACTCTGGGCTGCCAATCACAATTTCCCTTTGCAGATCCTCTGGTACCAATTCCTCCCCCATGGGGTGCCACCACTCCTTCAGCAAGCTCTGAGAACTCATTTCAGCCCTCAAAATTGGCAAATGCAGTTTACGGCTGGGGGCCACCCATCCCTGCTCCCACCACAGAGGTGTGGGTGGCACTGGGAGGCCGTGATGTGGGCTGTGCATGGCCACTGCTCTGTGGGTGTCTCCTGGGAGTGTTTCAAATCCTCTGAAATCATCAGTATAAACTCTGCCAACACTGTCTTTTTAGTGTCAGTGGCATAACTTTATCCTTGGCCCAGAGTGTGTGTGGCCAACAGAGTTCCAGCCTCCACACAAACAGAAATACAAAACCTTTTCACATGTTTACAGTTTATACATTTTCAGAAGAAAAAGAAAAAAAAAAAAAGAAAGAAAGAAAACCCCAAACACACAAAAAACCCCAAACTTCATTTGGTCTAAATTCCATAATTCTCTTATAATTCTCTTTCATTTAATCCTGTTCTATCCTCTACCAGTTACTGATTTCTAACTTCATATCTTAATTAGTCCATCTTTTTAGTATCTCCGACTTTGGAAAGTAGGAACTTTTAACACAAAGATGGAGTCTTTGTTCACATCTTCTTTATCTTCTGGTTTCTGCAAAATATCCTTGTAGTTCATAAATTCAACATTCCAGATGTCCAACCTCACCAATATGTTCTTCTCTCCCAGGCTTTGTTCACTGAAGTATATCAGACTTAGTTTATCAAAACTTCAATGTCAGTACTTTTCCCAATCTGTGTTCCTATGGAAGTGGCTCAAGGCAAGTTTTCTAAATGCTGGAAAAGAGTAATTTAAAAATTACACACTATTTATTATTTATATATAGGTTATAATTAAAGTAATTAATTTAAAAGTTAATTAAAACCATTAACTTTTTTTTTATTTAAAAGTTACATTGTTTCTAACAGGAGAGTGCATCAGGGCAATAATCTCAGAACTCCTCTTTACTGGGAGCACTGGGGGGGCTGCAGTCACTGCAGAACCCTTTTTACTGGGGGGCCAATTGCCTCAGAGACCCTCCCGACTGGGAGGATGGGGGGAATCCCTTCAGAGCCCCTCCTTACTGGGATGACTGGGAAGGGCAAATATCTCAGAGCCCCTCATTCCTGGCAGGACTGGAGAGCGAAATTACCTCAGGGGCTGTCGTTACAGGGAGGACGAGGGGGCAATTCCCTCAGAGATCCATGTTCCTGGGAGAACTGGGGACCCACTTACTTAGAGGCCCTCGTTACTGGGAGCACTGGGGAGCCAGCATCCTTTAAGGCCTCTGCGGCTGGGAGGACGGGGGGCGGTTCACCTCAGCGACCTCAGTACTGGGAGGGCTGGTGTGCGTGAGGGGTCCCCCCAAGCGCCCCGGTTACCGCGAGGGCGCAGGCACCGCACAGACCCTCGGTACTGGACGGAACCCTAATGGATCTCCCATTACTGGGAGGACTGGGGAAGGCTGGAAGTCCCTCAGGTCCCCTGTTAATGGAGAACTAGGAGGGGGCAGTCCCTCAAACACCCCCATTATGGGAGGGGCAATTACTTCACAGATCTTCATTACTAGGGGAGCTCTCCTCAGGGATCCCCTTTACTGGGAGGGAACTCCTGAAGTGCCCTTGTTAGTGAAAAGACTGTGGAGGGAAGGAGAAACCCCCAGGGCTCCTCAGCACCGAGGGAGGGGGAAGCGCCTCAGGGTCGCTGGCGGCGCTGCGGGGCGCCGCCCTCAGCGCTGGTGACGTCAGCGGTGACGCGGCGGCGCGCGCTGTCGCGCGGCTGACGCGCGGGGCGGGCGCTGTGGCGCTGTGGCGCTGTCCCCGCGGGGCCCGGCCGGACATGGCCCCGCGCGGCCGCCCCGCCGCCGCCGCCATGCCCCGCAGGGCCGCCCGCAAACGCCTCAAGTTCCGCGCCGACGACGTGTGCTCCGAGCGGGGTGAGAGCTGGGCCGGGCCGGGCCAGTGGCGCCGGGCCTGGGCTGCGATTGAGAGAGGCCGGGGCTGATGAGGGGAGCGGGGGCTGTGAGGGAAGGCGGGCCTGAGGTGAGCCGGACCGAGCTTGGCGCTGCTGGTGCACGCCGGAGAGGAGCCCTGGGCCCGCATTAGGGCCTGGAGGAGGAGTAGTTAAAGAGCCTGGGCTTGGCCTGGGCGAGGGGGATGAGGGAAAGAGCACAGTCCAGTCTCGCCTAGGAGTGAGCTGGGCCCTCTCGGGTCTGTGCAGGCAAAGAGCCGCGTCCAGGAGGGATCCCCCAGCAGGGTTCTGGACGGATGTGTGGAAATTAGCCCTCTTTGCCTGTGGAGGAGGAGCCTGAGACCAGAGGATCAGCCAGGCTCGAGTTGGGCTGTGTGAGGGAGAATGGGATTATCACTGGCTGAGGTATTGGGAGAAGGAGAATTGCGCTGGGCTGGCTGGGGGCGTGGGTCCCTGAGCCTGATAGACCGATGGTCTGGAGTAGAGACTTCCTGGGGACTCCTGGCGTGCATGTCTCTGCTGAGGCTCATTTTCCTGCTTGTACATCTCCCCTTTGAGTCTCTGCTCCTCTGGGGACTGTTCACTTTAGTCATCGTGACTCTTAGCCCTTTTGTCCCATCCCCATAATCCCTAATCCTTCTGACCCGTTTCCCCCTCTCTGCAGTGACGGTGGCAGATTATGCCAACTCAGACCCAGCTGTTGTGAAGTCTGGGCGGGTGAAGAAAGCTGTGGCCAACGCAGTGCAGCAGGAAGGTGAGTCTGCCCTGGGGCCCCTGGCTTTCCCGTGCTGCCTTCAGGTTTTGCTCTGCATGACATAGGAAACTCTTCCTTAAACTGAGAAAATGTGTGTCCTTTAGTGCTGAAAATGAGCCCGTGATACTCTGTAGACAATCAGGTGTTAAGAGCTTAGGATGTTTCGCAGAAAGCCTGCTGCAAGAATTGCTGAGTCTTTGTTAGTGCCTGAAATGGAAAGGCTTTGGTGTCATCTCCTGCTTGAGGTAGAAAATAATGTTATAAAAGTCTTTATTACTTTATTACCACATATAAAATTGTAGATAACTTTATTAGCAGGTAAAGTTCTTTGCTGGGGGAGTAAGGTTGTGATAGGTTTGTCAAACATGTTGCGAGGAGGTCTTGGGAGGGTGTTGCTATATTTTTTGGTGAACTTTGTAAAGAAGGAGTTTTCCTGGAAAGGTAGTGCAATATTTTGTTATCTACTTCTGCCTTGTCTGGGAGCTTTTTGAGCTAACATGTTCCACTTGCTTGAGAAATGGTGATGTTTAGGCCTTTTAAATGTAGCTGATCACATGTCTTGGAGGTAGATGTTGTGTTGACAGTGATGACTGAACTTTTCATAAAGGGAAAAAACTCTTGGTTTGCTGCTGAAATCTTGCACTGCTGGAGGCAGTGTGCACTTGGCATGAGTGCCTGTTAGGGGCAGTGGTGCTCCTGTTCATCCTCTTCCACTGCTGCTTCTAAAGCTTTTAAGATCAGGGCACCTCCCTCTTTTGTGGCCTCGTTTGTTTGGGGCCCTCCCAGTCCCACTCCTGTTCACCTATCTGTGTTCTGTCTCCTTGAGGCAAAGTCCAGCACTTCAGCATCATGCTGGCAAACTGCTGGTGTTCCGTTCTCCCTGCCCCCAGCATCATCTGCTTCATCCAGTTTATCCCCTTTCCTGCTGTTTCTGGCTCACCTCCACCTCATCCTGGTGCCTCCAGGACACAGCAGTTCCGTGCCCACCTCTATCGCAGGTCTTTGAAGTGCAGTCTCAGGGGTTTCCCCTCCGGATTCAGGGATTCTCAGAATCTCTCCTCCCCAGCCCCAGGGCTGTGCTCCAACTTTATCTGGTGCAGCCATGACCGTGCTGCAGCCTTATCAGGCCCAGCCTTATCTGTGTGTCTCGGGGTGCCACACGTGGGGACAGGAGCCCCAGCCTTTGGCCTTGCTGCCCTCCAGAAACTTGGCTCAGAGTGAACTCTGTGCTGGGTGTGACCACAGTGGCCGGGGCGCTTCCCACAGTGAGCATCCAATGGGAGCTTCACCTTCATTGGCAGGGGAGCCACGCCCAGGAGGAATTTTTCTGGGCTTCCCTCTCCCCCATTCTAAGGCCCAGGATGGGAGGATTTCAACAGTAAGGTGAAGAGAGGGTGCCTCTGCAGGATTGCAGTGCAGCCATTCACTGCTCAATGGACTCATGCTGTTGACTCAGAGGTTGACTTTTCCTTAGGAGAGTGGGGTGTACCCCAGTCAGAGTCCCTGTCAGTTTTGTCTTCTCTTGCTTGGCTGTATTTGATATCCTAACTCACTGTCTTTGTGTTGCCACCTATTTCGCTCTCTTTTTACCTATAAAAGGTCATGTGGAGAGAGCAGTGGTGGAAACAACGGCCATGAATACATCCAGGTGCCAGGAAAACATACAGTTTACAGAACAAACTGTGCAAAGTGAGGTAGAACTGGTTTAGCAAAGCACTGAGGTGTGTCTAGTGAATGAGTACAATCAAGCCCTGTTTGAAGACTGTCTTTTCATCTGCTGTCTTTTCATTATAAAACCCTGTTTGGTGATTAGAAATGAGAATATTTTTCACTTGAGTTTATGTTCAGTTTCTTGTTTGTTTTTCTGCTACTCTGTCTCTGTGATTCAAACAGCACATTTTGCTCTTCAGTGTCTCTGGTGACTGTAGTGTCTGGAACTGGGATGTCTAAAACCTTCCTGGCCTTCAGTATGTGCTGAGTAGAAAATGTTTTATTCTTCACCTAGTTTGTTGGGTTGAAATTCAGCTCTTGAATGAATTTCACAGCCTATTTGCAAAGCCTTTGTGCTGCTGTGGTAGTGCCTCACACAGCTGTAATGTAGGACCACACCTTTCTTTTTCCAAGACTATCATTACTGACTTTCATGTGAATTTTTCTACCCTAATGAGCCCTCAGTTTACAGATCGAGTTTTAAAAATAATATTTCTAAAAAAGGATATGTCTAAACATGTCCCCAGATACAGGAAACAAGCAGCCCCAAGCTACAGCTGACTCAACTGGCAGTTTTCCTCACTAGGCCAGAGCCTTCCCCTTCACTAAATTCCAGGCTAAGTGGAACTCCTGGGCTCTTGACACTGAGTTCCAGCCCCAGTAGATTGTGTCATCGGCCACAGGACAGTTGTCCTGCTGCAAAGGGAGTTAGTCTTCTCCATGCTCATAAAACAGTTCCAGAACAGGTGCTGGCTCCAGGCTGAACATGGCCATGCAAGGCAATTCGGCTGTTTAGGGAAACTGGTTGCCCCTTAGAAAGAGCCCGTTGTTTTATTTGGAGTTGTAAGTAGCTTCAGCTAAACCAGTGGGATCTGCATAATGTGCTGGTAGTCATCCTCTTTGTTCATTATTTAAAACAAGCAGCTGAATAATTATGTTTCCCATTCATTCACCCCTGCTAATCTTTCTCTGACAAGGTAATCCTTGAGGTCAGGATTTACTTGCTTGTGTCACTCACCAGAAAGCTTTAAGGCAGTGGTTCCACTGAAACATCTCCTGAACTTGGATCACCTTTTCCTCTCTGCTGTTGTACTTACTGTTGTTTTTCATTCCAGTAAAATCCCTGTGTGGTTTGGAAGCATCCTGTGTCCCTACTGAGGAAGTTCTCTCCGTGTCAGGAGAGTCCTGTGACAGCAGTGATGAGATGGATACCAAGGAGAGCATCAACGGGAGGGCTGCCTCGAGGAAAAAGAAGAGCAAAAGGCACAAAGGTGTGGTCATCTGCTGTCTTGGGGCTCTGTGGGCTCCTGCTGCAGGTCCAGTGTAGGGCATGCTTATGCTGGGGATTTACAGGATTGTCATGGGGCTCCTGGAGCATTCTGGAATTTTAGTGTGCACAAAGAAATGCCAAGAGCTTAGTCACTTGTAAATCTGCTAGCACTTGGTCACAGGAGCTGTATTTGCACAGAGGCAGAGCTTGGGGCATGAAATCAGAGCCTGAGAGCTCCTTGCTTTTAACAAATATCCCCTCAGCCTTGGAAAACAAACACTGCTCTTCCAAAGTTGTGCAACTTTGCCACTGGCTGTGTTGCTTCACTGAACATGGGCTGGTGGCAGCAGGTTTGCTTTGGGGTTGAAGTGCTGCTGTCCATGATGCAGTTGTTGGCAAAACACAAGCTCTGTTTCCAGTGTATTTCCAAGGCTGTGATTTGTTACAAATGGGTTAAAAGGCCTCTTTTTTCAGCAAGGAAGTGCATTTGATCCTAGTGGCAGCTTAATACATTCATTCAAGAAAGATGTATCCTTCAGCACTTGCACGATGTGCAACTCCATAGAAATCCATTGACAATGCAGTGTAAGCATCAAACAGTTCTGCTGGACTGGGAAACCCTGCAGAAGTTTCTAGTAATGAGTTGCTTCCAGGTTGAGAAGCAAATTTTAACCAGTTTTCTTGAGCTTAATAGCAATTATGTAGCACATGATCATCCATCCACCACAGACTGAGGGTGGACAGCACTCCTCTGGGAAGGAAGTTAAAAGAGGTTAACCTCTTTTATTAAGGCATCCTTCAGAATCCTGGCAAAATAATCTCTGAGCAGCTGGAGCTATGAGTCTGGAAATACACTATTCTGTTCTACCACAGCCTTGTCTTGTTTCTGCTACATGTTTAGGGAGGAAAAAATGGTGATAGAATAGTGATGCTCCCAGCTGCCCTCTAGGTGATGCCTCCAGCTGCCCTCTGAGTTCAGCAGTGTGGAGTTTGATGGCTTCTTAAGCCAGAGCTGACCCAGCAAAATGGGTGTAGCAGCCCATTGTGGGTGTGCCTGCCATAAATCTGAAGTGCTGTGGGGAAGGGATCACATCCAGAGCTTTCTTTGGCAAGTATCACATGAGGATAAAGAACTGCCCTTAGTATTAACCTGCTGTCTCGGGGTTAGATCTGGCACCCTCAAGTTCCCAAACACCTCTTCTATGCCAGAGACCTCACAGCAGCTTTTCCTATTAGCACTGTGCATAAGTTGTGTTTTCCTTCTCTCTTGTTAACCTTTCTAATGCTCAGTGCTGTTCACCTACTTATATTCCTTAAAAATATTTTTTACTCCTAAAGTTGGAGCAATGTCTGTGGAAAAAATCGTGGTGTAAACTACAAAACACTTCAGGAATTAAAGGAGTGTGAGCCCACAGTTCTGACATGTCTGAGAGGAAGAACAGGCTATTCTCTCCATCTGAATTGCATTAAAAGTTCCCATCCAAGAAGCTTTAATGAAATTAAGAGATTTAAGAAAAGAAGCTGATTGCCAGATGCAGAACAGAATTTCCCTTCCTGACAGAGCTCCTACCAAAATATTGTGACCACTGGAACAAAGACCTGACAAGCCTGGCAGTACCAATGATCAAGGTCTTAATGTGTGAAGCTATTTTAGTGTCCTGTTGAATGTGCCCTTTCCATTAAAAATGCAGGAACTGGGCCCTTCTTTATATAAAGTTGCCTCTTTATTTGACATGCAATTTTTGTTTCTCAACCTGAGTGTGGTATTTCAGCTATGCCAGGATCAGGCATCAAAAGAGGGTCCAGAAAGGCTTTGTGGTTTCCATCCTCACTCACTTGGACAAGATGCTGAACAGAATGACCTAATTTTGTATGCTTTGAGCTGAGCTGCTGGATTAGAAACCTCCAGAGAACCCTTTCAGCCCGAATTCCTTCATGAATCTGCCACTCTGCCCATTTGTGCAGCAGGGCTAACAGTGGCAGGTGTCCGGCACAGGGGAGGTGTCGTGGCTGTGTGGCCGCTGATGGGAGCAGGGAGCAGGGCCGCTGAGGCTGTGCAGACTGGGCTTTCCCTGTGTGTGTAAGTCAGCAGCCCAGCTCTGCTGCCAGGTGTGCAGCACATATCTCTGGGTGGGAGCTGGTGCAGATGGTGCAGATTCCTGCACTAATACACCCTTGTTGCCTTTAGAAGATGCCGAAGGGGGAGGAGGAGAGGAATATCCCATCGACATCTGGCTGCTCCTGGCTTCCTACATCCGCCCTGAGGACATCGTCCGGTTCTCTCTGATCTGCAAGAAAGCCTGGACTGTCACTTGCACTGCTGCCTTTTGGACCAGACTCTACAGAAGGTGAGACCCTAGAGGGTTTTAAAACTGGTTGTGGGAGGTTTCAGTAGAGAGCAGTTCTCTGCAGAGCTGGAAATAAGGGAATAATTCCCTGTAGGCCTGGGCCCTGTGTTTGCATGTTGACATGGTGATGTGGTCTTCTTTTGTGTGATATTCTTATCCCTCAAAGTCAAGCTAGGAGATCTGGAGTTGTTCAGCCTAGAGAAGAGAAGGCTTGGGGAAAACATCCCTGTGGCCTTAGAGTACTTTAAGGGGGCTTATAAAAGGGAGGCAGAGGGACTTTTTATATGGGTGGGTCATGACAGGACAAGGAGTAATGGTTTTAAACAGGGCAAAGGGCAGGGTTAGATTGGATGTTAGGAAAAAATTCGTATTGTGAAGGCAGTGAGGTCCTGGCACAGACTGCCCAGAGGAAATGTGGCTGTCCCATCCCCAGTAGTGTCCAAGGCCAGGTTGGAGCACCCTGGTATAGTGAAAGTTGTCCCTGCCCATGGCAGGGGATGGAATGAGCTGAGCTTTAAGGTCTCTTCCAACCCAAACCATTATAAGAGTTTTAATATTATACCTTCTTTGGGTCTGGAAATGGATCTTTGTGGTGTATTCCTGTATGTTCCCAGTAAAATCTCAGGGTTTTGTGTCCTTTTCTGCTTGCCATGGCCCAACACTTGTATATATCAACCTCTCCAAGTATGTATGGCATGGTCAGTGCTGAAAGGCAAACATCATTGATGGACAACTTGCCCTGCTCTAATCACAGCCACCTCCCTGTAATTTGGGGATTTTGGAGCTGTACAGTGACAGGAGTAAGTGAAAGCAAGGAGGGCAAAGGGGTGGTCAACACTTGATACAAATCCTTCTGTCCCAGTACATGCCACTGGGATATTCCTTCAGGAGAGAACATTTTCTTTACAGCTCTACCTGTTGCCCAGGAGGCACAAGCAGGAGGGGCACAGAGTAGAGGGCAGCTGTGGTCATCCTCACGCCTGGTTTTTAGTGTGACATTCCCTAGCAAAGGCTCCTTTGGAATGTGATCAAGGAATAGCCCTTGAGTGCAGGTGTGCAGGCTGCTCAGGCAGTGCTGAGAGCTGCAATCAGCTCAGCTGGGAGTCCCTGGGAACCTGCAGCAACCTCCAGCCCTTTGTGCAGCCTGGCTGGTCTCTGGGCAAACTAGAAATTATTGGGAATTGTAGGATGTGTGACCTGCGTGGTGCAGGTCAGGGCTTTGAGGCTGCCATGTGGTGTCCTGTCAGCAGCACAACCCCCTCACAGCCCTCAGGGTTGACCAGTGTCCTGTGGTCAGTCAGATGTGGAGTTTTCCCCTGACATGGCTCTGTCCCTGCCGTGCCCTGGCTGTGCCCTGGAGCTGACACCATTCCCGTGGGTTCTGCAGGCACTACAGCCTGGACGTGTACCTGCCCCTGCGCCTGCGCCCCGAGTCCATGGAGAAGCTGCACTGCCTGCGCGCCTGCGTCATCCGCTCCCTGTTCCACATGTACGAGCCCTTCGCCGCCCGCCTCTCCAGGAACCCCGCCATCCCAGACAGTACTCCCAGCACTTTAAAGAATTCCAGAGTAAGTGGCATCACTCGGAAACTGGGATTTGTCTGAGGTGTTGCTGTTTCTGTTTGGTTTGGTTTTTTCTTTCTAGAAGAAAACCAGATGATGGGGAGATGGTCACCAGTGAAGCTGAGGTATAGGATGGTCACTAACTGGATATTCTCAGTGGGATTTGTAAAAGTGGGCTGGTTACTTGTACCTGTAGAGCTACTCTTTGGACTTCTGCCTAAGTCCTGCACTACACCATCTTAACCAGCAAAATGGCCCTGGTATCACTGGATATCAGAACTGCCAGGGATGTTTGCAGCTTCCCTTCCTCTGATCAAGGCTCCATAGGATCATCTTTTATATGTTTTGCTTTATTCTGACACTCTCTGCCAGAGTACATCTCTCTGTAACAGGCCTCTGGAGAGCTCAGGAGTGACACTGATGCCAGGAGTTGTGTCACTCTGCTTTCCTGCAGGTCATCCAAGGTCTGGTGTGTGGGTGAGGCAGGGTGGTGATGCTGGGGTGAGCATGGCAAATGTGCAGAGCCAGTGTCTGCTTTGGGACTGGGCTGCACTGTGGTGTGGGCAGGTAATTCCCTGTGCTATCACAGCTTGGAGCACTTGCATATCATTATTGCTGTTGACCATTAACTCTGAAATGCCTTTGTGTCTCTTGTTGGGTTTTAACTTGCAACTGGCTGATACTTTGTGAACAGCTTAAGCAACAATGTGAATTCTCCACCCTCCAAAGCTTAGGTCAAAAACCTGTTGAATGAGGTTTTTGGAGCCAAACTGAAGTGGGTTTCATTGAGGAGTTGTTCTTTCTTTTCTATGCAAAATAGAGGAGCTTCATCTATCTGTACATGACATCCCACCTTTCTTCCTTCCTCTCCCTGTCACAGGCTCTCATAGGGTCAGGGAGCATCCAGCAGCACACAGGAAGTGGTGCTGCAGCACAAGGAAAAGCACATGGCTCTGTGGTCTTATCTCTGCATCCAGAGCTCCTCATTTTCTTCCTGAGTCCCCAGGCTGGGGATCTTCATTCGTACCAACTGAAAAAGCAAGACACTCTGAAGAAATTCCAGTAGTCCTGAGCCCAAGCTCCCACTGCTCATGGCTGTAGGAGCTGGAACCCCGAGGTGGTGCTGGCAGGGTCGACATTTTGGGAGGATTCCTGGTGACATCATAACGGCTTTGGTGTCCACTGCTAGTGCTTCTCCTGTACTAACAGTTGGAGGAGGATCCTTTAAGTACAGTCTTTCATTGTTCACCTTTTAAAAAAGGAAATTAAATGGGGACGAGACTCTGTCAGAGCAGTAGAGGTTTGACCTAACCCCTTGCAGCATGAAAGAGCCACCCTGAGTCTGGTCTTGCTGTACTACTGCACTGCAGGACTCTGAGCTCCACTTGTGTGATTGTACACACAAATTCCATTCAGCACAGAAGGTTTGGAGGAGGACCTGGCATTGCCTCCCCACGTTCTGGCTTTCCTGGGCTTTGGTTGTACCTTTGTGGGTTGCTGACACTAACGGCAATGCCTACCTAAAGTGCATGTGGCTAGAGGAGAGCCCAGCCCCGGGTGTGATCCAACCTAGCTTTTCCTCTTTAATTTCCTTTTTTCTTTCCCTAGCCTAGCTTGTGTGGGACACTGGAGCCGTTATGGTGTCAGCAGAGGTGTTTGCCCTTTAAAGACACCCCATTATTTTGGGCGGAGCGGCAGCCGCACGGCGCGTCTGAAGGGCAGGACGGCTGACCCGAGGACGACATCCTCTGCCCCTTAGGAGGTACTGACCTTTTGTGCTTCACTACTTGCCATGACCAAACAGGTTGCTAGACCAGGCTGCCTCTGCAGGTGAACTACAAATGCCACTGATGGTGGAGTTGAACTCAGCAGCATCTGCTGCTCATCTGAGTTAAAAGATCTGGAGAATGTTTTTATTGGAAAAAAACTGAGGGCTGCTTCCTCCCAGGTGGAGGTTATTCCATGCATGTTTCTGAGCTTTACTCCACAGAGCTTTGTTGTTCACCTTATTGTGGAGAAGATTGTGGAGAAAAAAGGTCTTTTAATGACTCGTTTATGGATGTGACTCAGAGTTGAAGCAGAGGGTCTTGTATCCCCTTTGGTCTTTTCAGAGCCCCTGTGGTGGAGGCTGGCTCTGGCTTCACTTTATTAGGATCACTCCATCCTGGAATGAAGTTAAATATGTACTTTGCCCTGCAACCCAGTCAGGCCTTCTCTCTTCAGGAGAGACTGTGTATGGATCACAGGGAGTTCTCTTTACCCACATTATTCCTCCTTTTCCTGCTGACACTGATGAAAGATAAGACCAGCTGTGGTGGGCTGGCATCTGTGGTGTGGAAAAGCTTTGTGGGATGGCTGGACTGACTTGCCAGGTTCTTTCCTTGGCTGTTGAAGGCTGGTTGCTTGTACTGTGACTGGTAGGCAGGGATTTCCCTTGTACAGGAGTTTTGCTGAGCCTCCTGCTCCAGAACAAGCTCCTGGGCTGGAGCCTGTGTCACATACAGTGATAACCAATTGAAATTGGAGCAGTCGTGGTGTATGTCTGCATGACAGGGCAGTGCTGGTGACTTCTGAGGCTATTTGAAGCTGGTTTCTCATTTTCCTTTGAAAAGGGACAGAAGGTTGGTCAGACTGTGCTGTCCTGGCAGTGGTTTTGGACTCGAAATTATGACAGTGCTGGTAATGGCAAGGTCACGGTCTCCATTTGACTCCACAATGGCTTAGGAATTTCTTCATCCATCACCTCATAGCTCTTGTAGTTGTCTTTGTATTTCCCTCTGGATCCTTTCCTTCTCAATCCTTATTCTGTTCTCTGTTGTTCCTCACTTTAACCTTGTTTGGAACCCAGTTTAATGGGAGCTGCTGCTTGCTGGAGGGAATGGGTGAATCTGCACTACTCATACCTGCCCTAGGAAAGGGATAAATGGCACATCAGGATTTTGCTGTTTGGCACATCAGTGACTACGTGTTGCATGAGGAGTTGGCCAGTTTGAGACTGGGAGATCTACACTGCTGAGATGGTTCTTTGAACACAATTAATTTGAATAAGTGACTCCTAATTGCTCCTATGTAATTGTGTTTTCAATTGGAAGCCTTTATGATCTGTTAAAACTTATTTGAAGTGGTGCTTCTAAGGGTTTCATAATTTTGTATCTCTTTTTTTCCACTTCAGTGTCTGCTTTTCTGGTGCAAAAAGATTGTGGGGAACAGGCAAGAAGCAATGTGGGAATTCAACTTCAAGTTCAAAAAGCAGGTATGAAAGAACAAGATCAGCTGTGACTTTTGTTTGAAGCAGAAGTTATTTTTCTGGGGGTTAGAAGGGAAGTGGAAACTTTTTCCATTCAGAAAATAAATGCAAACAGATTCCCATGGTAAACTAAAAAGCGCATTGTGGAACTACACTCAGTTTTCAGTCTGTGTTCCCAAGACATTTAGAATCCCACATTTTTAATTCCTCTGTTGGTATCCTTTCCCTGCTATAAGCTGTGGATCATCACTACTGATTGCTACTGAAAACCAGACTGTTTGACTGCAGTGGTCAAAATGTTGACCAAAATCTGAAACTTCTTGTTATGCCATTGCCAAGATTTCTCAGAGAACTGAAGACAGCCTGCAATGTCAGGGAAAGCCTCCAGTAGTGGGTGTTGGGAGAAGCCAGTAATTTCAGGCAGCCTTGAGAATTGTGCAGCTTTCCCCTCTAAAGAAATGGTCCTGAAAATTGCCCACCCTGAGTGATGGCATTTTGTTGTGACACTTCGCCCAAATACCTGGGGAGGAGGAGAGACCCTGCCAGGCCACACTGGGGAGGAGCAGCCAAACCCAGCAGAGGTTCCTGCTTTGCTAAATTGGTCTCTCTTTCTTTCAAGTCTCCCAGATTGAAGAGCAAGTGTTTCAAAGGTCTCCAGCCCCCAATCCAGTATGAGGAAGTGCACACAAATCCAGATCAGGATTGCTGCCTGCTGCAGATCACCACCTTCAACTTCATCTTCGTGCCAATCGTCATGGGCATGACCTTCACCTTGGTAAGTGGGCGAAAGCTGCCAGGCTTTGCAGATGAGGTTCCTGTAAGGACATGAAGAGGGCAACTGGAATCTCCTGTGTTGGAAGGGACCCACAGGGTCCCCTACTCCTGGCCCTGCACAGAACGACCCCAAGAATCCCACCCAGTGCCTATTTTGGGCTGTATAAATCTCACTGCTTTATCAGCAAACCAGTTGTGGGAATCATATGGTTAATAAAGAGAGGAAGTGCTCAGAATCTCAGTTTAACTTCTCCATTTCCATTGGCTCTTCCCTGTTGGGTGCAGTGAATAGAGAGGATGTAGAGAATCTGCCAGGAGTTGTGGTTGTGCAGTGTCTGGCTGTGTATCAGTTACCAGAACTGCGGCAGGTACAGGAGACAGGGAGCAATCTAAGTGGAGGTCTGCCCCTTACAGGAATATCTCTTTATGGTGGTAAATTCTGAGAAAAAAATACCACATGAGCAAACTCTTTGATTGTGTGTGTTTGGTCCCTGACTGGGAGTCAGGGTTTCAGAAGTGGCCAGTGCTCAGGAGAGGTTCGGTCTGGCCTGACTTAGGAGTTTGGCAGTAAGTTCCAGACTTCTCCTGACAGCCACTTGCTTCCAGGTTCACTTAGAATCAGTGTCATAAAATTACTTAGATTGGAAAATACCTTTAAGATTAAGTCCCCTGTGTCCACCCCTAACCCATGTCCCAAGTGACACATCCACAGGCCTTCTGAACACTGCAAGGGATGGTGATGCCACCACTGCCTAGGCAGTTCCAGTGCTCTCTTACAACCCTTCCAGCCTGATTATGTGGGGCTGCCAGCCAGACAGCTGGTTTGGATCCAGTGCTGTAGCCTTGAGAATGTGACTGTGAAACACCTTGTACAGTTCAGAGGAATGGATAAAGTTTAGAAGTGTCGTGTTGAGAGTTCTCTTGGTCACAGTGACTTTCTGAAGCAGCTCTGGTCTCCTCTCTTGCAGTTCTCCATCTCGGTGAGCACGGACATGCGGCACCACCGCGTGCGCCTGGTGTTCCAGGACACGCCCCTGCGCAACGGGAAGAAGCCACGCGTGGAGCAGGGGGTCCAGGTGGTACTGGACCCTGTGCACAGTGTCAGACTCCTGGATTGGTGGCACCCACAGTACCCCTTCTCCCCAAAGGCTTAGTGCTCTCCTGAGGCTGCAGGAGCCCACAGGGGACTTAATCTGGCAGGCTGAAGAGAATTTCTAGGAAACAGGAAATCCTATTTTTATTTCTGAAATAAATTCTGCAGTCTCCTTGCAAGTGGTTGAAGCTGCTGAGCTAGTTTGTATGTATATAACTTCTGGTCAGTAATGAACAGAGCTGAGTGTAAAGCAGAAACTATTTGTAAACACACTTTTATGTAAAATTGACATTTTATGATTTGAAAGGAGCTCCCTGGAACTGTTCATTTAAAATCCTTTTGGTGCTAATCAAAGTGGTCTTGTGTTCTCTTGTTCGGGAAGAAGTAGGAGGTTTTGCTTTCCAAGAACTTTCCTTTTTGCTTTCCAGGAACAATTAACAAACAAAATTCATGTTTGTTTTACTGCAGCAGGATTGTTTATGCACGGTGTGATATTTCAGTGTCTGAGAAGCAGTGATCAACAACAATCTTAATTCCCAGCCCAATAGATCCCAGTTTAAGGAAAGAAAAAGGCATAAGTGATGAAACAAAGGAATTACTTGAAAGAGGAGCTGTAAGGTGAAAGTCTCACTTGAATGGAAAGGTACTCAAGTTCTCACACTGGTGTTTTTCTTTGGAAAGAAGATCTAAACTTTTAAAACCAGAAGGTGCTTTTCAGAGAACATAAACAGGGAGGGAGAGGAGGGGATAAACTAAAATAACTGGAGCAGTAATGAAGGACTCTGTCTTTTCAAAGTGCAGTGTGGAAGTATTTCCTGTTGAAAGCCCTCCAGCAACCACTAATCTGACTTTTGACTAAATAAATTGATTTCTGTGAGGAAGACACAACTGTGAAACTTCCTGTGGCTCTGGGCTGACTGAGAAGTGAGGGGTGCAGCAGGGGCTGGGCCTGTCAAGAGTGTGGTCTGACCAGAAGAAACCTGGCTGGAGGTTTAATTGAATACGTGGCTCCCTGGGGAGGTGCAGAGGAGGTGCTGCAGGGCAGGGGAGCAGATACAGACCCTGGACTGAGCATTGCTGCTTATCAGATATCAGCTCCTGAGTCCTACTGCACACCACATCTTCTCCCAAGCAGGAGGAACAGTACTTGTCCATGTAGAATATTTAGAGAAGCTCCTGAAGGAGAGGGAGTTCTGCCATCTCTGTTTGGACCCAGTGGTCTTCGAGCTCTTGGTAGGTCCCCTCCACCTCAGAATATCCAATGATTCTGTGACCCCCACATGACTCTGGTGTAGCTGCCCAGAAGGAGTTTCTTGCCACTCTGTAAATCACCACTAAGGACATCTGCCCCAACCTTGGATCTCTGTTGGAGGCTCTTCATGTTGACTTCAAACACGTTTGGGACAGCTTCTGCCTTGCACTTCCTCTTTCCACCACTGCTGAACTTCTGTTGATGCCACAGGTAAGTTTTGAAGTTAAATTGGTTCATTAGAGATAGAGGGCAATAAAAATGTGCTGTCCCTGTGCTCCAGGGGCTGCCTCGACAGCAGAGCCTGGGCTGTGTTGTGGTTGTGGTGCAGGAGATGGTCGGGCTGGAGCTGTGTAAGGGCTGCAGGGGCTCCATTTCCAAGGAAGCTGCTCCAGGGCGGTGGGGGACAACAGTCTTCCTTTTTCTGTGGGGTTAAACACCACTGAACTCGGGGACAGGTTGTGAAGGTCAAGCAGTGAAACATGGTCAGGCTGCAATTTCTGGTTGTCCTGGAAGGAGGTGGCTGCTTACTCAGAGCCTGGTTCTGGCTGTGCTTCAGGCTGTTTACTGCTACAATCCCTGAAAACTCCCTCATGATGATGTTATGGCTATTTGCCTGGTGATTGCTGTTTATGCAGTCTGGAGAGTGGGAGCAGAGGGGTTTGGTTCCTGGCTCAGGCTGATGGCAGGAGCATGGAGCAGGCTGGTGTCTGTGTGAGGCTGTGCCCTTTCCTGTGGGGAGCTGCTCAGGCTGAGCAGGGCTGGGGACAGCAGCCCGGGCCCTGCTCTGGCTCCTGTGCAGAGCTACAGGACAGCTCCTAGGGCTGTGTGCTCCTGCCATCTGGCAAAGCAGGAATACCTTCTGATCAGGCATATGGCAAATCTGGGGGCAAAGGTGCTTGGCAGTTCTCAGAATTCCCTGGCTGATCCTGTGTGGTGCAGCCACAGCAGGTGGCACAGGCTGTGACAGCAGGAAGCAGGTAGATGGGATGTTTCCTTCTACCAACAGACTTGCTGGATTCAAATATGGATATTTAGATACCCATGCCCCTAAGCCAGAGGTGCCCTTCTTAGGCCAGGCTTTTTGTAGGCTGAAATGTATAAAATGTACAAGAACAATTCTCACTCTTTTCCTTTACAAAACTCACAGTGATGATGGTGCTGGAGCTGTGCTGATCAGCAGTGCTGGCAGGGATTTGGAACCTGTACTGATCCATGTTGGAAGGATGGGGAGTGGCAGGGATGCTGTGGAGGGGGATTCTGCCTCTGTGTAGAGCTGCACGTGCAGGTTTTCCCCTTGGTCCTTACCCAGAACATCAGACCCTGTACCCTGGTTTGCTTAGTGAGGGAGTGACACCAAAGCTGAGCCCCAAGTAGTAATTTCCACCCTGGCCCCTGAGCCCAGCTTCTCTTGAAGCTTGATTGCCAAAAAAGTCCTCTTCGATGTCCTCCAGGGTGGGATGCAGTGAGTGCACTGGTAGGAGTGGCTGTGGTTTGGTGTCACCCGTTTCTGTAGGACATGGCTCAGAGGGTCCCTCGGTGGTGTGGAAATGGAGCCCCAGATGAGCATCACGGTGGCTCTCCCTGTGCTCTCCATGTTGTGTGAGGCCCCATTCTACCTCTGCTTTGTCCTGCTCCTGAATAATGGAAGGACTGTAAACAGATCCTGCCTGGCTCTCTGGTTTCCTAGGGGAGAAAGGAAGACCTGGCCACCAACCTCACCCTGCTCCTGTCCTTGTCAGGGATCTGGTGGCCAACAGGAGCTGAGCTGGGTAAGATGAGGCCTGTGGGCTTGGGGGAAGGGGTCTAGGCCCTGCTCTGGGTCCCCTTGTGCCTGTCTCATCCCAATCCCTCCACTCGGGCCCCAAATGGGGGGACTGGTCCTCCCCAGCCCTCTGAGCTGGGTGTGCCTGTGCAGCCACGGGATCCTCTCAGAGCAGCCTTTGCACCTGGGGCTTCTCTTTCTTCTTCAGCTTATTCTAAAAGCAAGCAAAAATGTGCCTTTTAGCTTAATTTCAGCTACCTCCCTGTTTCCCCATGTCAAATATTTCAGTGAGCAGAGCATGTTTGGGTGTGGGGCCAGAGGGAGGTTTGAGAGCAGCCTTTGGTGCCAGGCTCTAGTTGGTTCCTAGGCACTGGGGCTATGCTGTGGTCCTCACAGGGGGGCAGGTGGAGGGATCCTTTTTCAACACCCAAAAACCATTTGGGACTTGCTCCATAGCACAAAGGGAGGACTGGATGAACTGGTTCAGGCTGGGCTTATGGCACTTGCTTTGAGTGGCTTGTGGCACTTGCCAGCTTTGAGGGCAAGAGGACCCAGGATGTTTTCCTGGGCACCAGGAGCTGTGTCTTAGCTGGATTCCTTTCCTGTTCCAGGCAGGCTTGTGGATGTACCTGGAGAGGGTCAAATCCTGCCCTTGCATCACACCCTGAAGCGGCCTGTGGGGACCAACAGGGAAATTGGTGGCTCTCCTGCTCCCCTTGGCAGTGCTGGCTGTTGCTATTGGCAGGGCTGCTGCACCCCGAGCACTGGGAACCCAGCGCTGTGCTGAGTGTCACAGCCCTTCCCCTCTTCCTTTCTGTGGGGGCAGGGAGGACCAGATTTCCTTCCTGTGCAGGGGTGGGGGTCAGGGACAGCTGTGGTGAGAAAAGCCCTGCCCCTCCTGCAGCTGCCACCAAGCCCCACAGTCCTTCCCACCCTGGGCCACTGAGCAGCTAAGCTCTGCTGGGCTGCACCATCCCAGCTGCCTTGGCCCTCCTGGAGTCCTCCAGCCCCTGCCCAGGTGGGAATCCCAGACTGCCTTTGCTCCAGTGCAGGTGGGGTGTCCCCACTGAGCCCCTGGGACCCCACTGGGACAGACCCACTGCCATCCCACCATAGGAATGTAAGGATTTAAACCCAAACTATGTAGGAAGAGCAAAAGCCAGCAGATCCAGGAGCCTGGGAATGTGTCTTCCACCTTCCCAGCACCATCACCTGCTTCCTGCTCTACCTTATCTCTCTCACAGAGGTGTTCCAAGCTCCATGTGCTTCCACGGGGAGCAGCTGGGGCTGGAAGGTGTCATGGGGGATTTGTAGAAGACGGAGCTTGGCAAGAGATGCAAGGTCTCCCTGAAGGTAGGAGAGGTTCAGGCCAACAAAGAGAGAAGGGATGTGGGATCCACACTTCTGTGTGAATAAATAGAGGGAAGGGAAGGGAAGGGAAGGGAAGGGAAGGGAAGGGAAGGGAAGGG